AGTGTCCGCGGATATCCGTGGCCCAAGTGCCCCCGCAGAATCTGCCACCCAAATTACCCTCTGTTACCTCGTCAAAAATGAAGTCTCCGATTGTAAACCATTGGCCTGATGAATAGTGTATATATATATAGATGAATATATAGTAGAGTAAAGATATGTAAGCATGAAGAAAGTATATAGATCTTGTGTCACTTGACATCAGACCTGTCGCATTGAGATCATTGAGTCATTGGGAGCACAGAACCCGCACCTTTCTGCCCCTTGGGCCCAGTGGAAGCCTGTGAAGAAATGGCTCGACAAAGCCATTTCCAGTGCCATGCTTCATGGTCAAAAATGTCAACATGGCCCATGCGCAAATTGGATACTACTCTGACACCATCCTGACACCCCACGGTGGCGCGGCCTTGGCAGCCTTTGGTGCAGCACCTGCTAGGATATAGGACCTATATGGACCTATTCTAGGACCTATTCAACTTGTTGATATATTCAGGATTTACCTGTCAAGCGAGATCACTATCAATCTTACCAATCTTGTCCTCCTGCCTGTATCTGTGTCAAATGAAGCCATTTAATAATATTCATACAATTCTGCTTGATTCAGCATGCGCAGTTCGATGGGAATGTAATGGCATCTTGCTCTATGTCCCATCGCGAAGTAGTTCTTCACTACAGCCCCGGAGATCTGATTGTGGTTCCCTCTGAACGAACCCAGGCACCGTCTGGCTTTTCACCTGCGTGGTCAGTGAGTCAGTGGTCTAAAGGGTTGTGACGAAGTGGGGAATCCATGGGCATCATGCTAATAATATCTTATCTATAATTGCTGATAGTCTGGCGATGACAATATCTGATGGTCTCAGCTAGCCTTGGTGAGATAGATGAACATTGTGCAATAATGGGATATAAGGGGGTGGCCACGGCTGTCCAGCTGCTGTTATTTCAATATTTCTGTGCATCGAATGCCTCGCTTGGTGGTTGAAAACAGTTGAAATGGGAGCGCCTTCTTCACCTTCCTTTTCATCTTTCCCTTTTCCTTTCCTGCAGTGAGCTGATGAGCATCCAGAAATTGAATGGTTGCAAAATGTTGCAAGGATCTGGCAGCTTGCAATACCACCGAGAGCAATCAACCCAAGTCAGAATGTTCTGAACTAGTACATGCTGTTTCCAATGCCTCGCAGTATTCGAAACATGTTGCAAATCATCCTGTGAATATGCAAAATCGCAAACGGAATAGGATGGTCCAAAACTATCTAATGTTCACCTGTTCTGTTACCCTGCGCTCTCTTGTGTTCTCGTTCTCTTTCCGATAGGTCTTGGCATATAGCAACATACGTATCATCATCATACCCATCCGCTTTCCATGTGCAAGTAAGGTCCCCGCTCTTTTCCTTTACCTGCAGAGTGACATGAATATAAATGAATGATGCGCCACGTCCACATATGTCCACCAAATTGATAGGCAACAGAATTCCCCACGATTACGATTTGGCCTTAGCTTGCCCAAAGTCAGCATATGAAGCAAAACCTGGTTGGCTAATCAACTACAATGGTCCTGTGATATCGTGTGTGGCCCAAGAGTTTCCCAAGAATTCTCGCGCCTTTGCCCTTCTTGCCCTTGCCAAATCCTGCAACAGAAATGGAGACCTTCCCTTGGGGATGTGGATGGACTGGATGGATCCAATGGACGAGATCAGCTGGTCCTTTCCAAGGCAACCTGGGGTCCCAAATGCTGCAGCTCTGGGCGCCCAGTCCGGCATCATCCTACGGACAGATTTCGAAACAATGATTCAATGTATGATCCAATGAACGCCCTGCAAAAAGTGCATGTTGAGTACATAACACAGTCAAATACACACACGCATGGCATAGATACACAAATACCATGGTATGTCAGCGAGCTGGCGCCTCATAGAGCTGGAACTGCACCATGACCCCAGGCAGCAAGTCCTTAATGCCACCCACCTCGGTTGGATGATGGCTGTGGATGGCCTGGGAAAGCTCCAGAAAATGACATCAAATCGCATTCAAAGAGTCTTTCACATATACTCTAGAAGTTGAGAATTGGGAATGCAAACTGATTTTGGCCATCCTGAATGTCTTGGGACATCTATATCCTTCATGTTACTTTCTCCATCTTTCTCCACTTTTTATCGTCACTGCGACCTTTTTTTGGCGCACTACCCAGCATGGGTCAGCATGGCTACAGGAAGCACTTCACCTTGACGGCTGGAAATGGACAATCTGGGAGTTGTGCAAAATAGGATTCCCCAAGACTCCGGTGGTCTTTGTGCTTGCATGTTTTTACATCAAAAAAATCGGGGGGGCACAAAAAAGGTCAAAATTATCCCGGCAAGAGACCCCAAACAGTGTGGGGGCGTGGGAGGATAATGTGGATGATGATGATGATGATGATGAGGAGGATGACGTTGGGGAGGAAGACCGATCCCAAGACCGGGACCCACACTTCGAGGGAGCCTGCGTAATCGAAATGCAAGTCAACATGTCACAAGAGCCGCTTTACACGGAAATTTACAGGAAAAGTGCCGCAGCCCAGCTGGAGCACCCTGATCAAGCACCGGCCTTTACACCTACCGTAAGAACCCCTCAGTTTGGACACACTGTTTGGGGAAAAAAACTTTTCATAGGGGGAAACCAATGGTGATAGTTTCGAGGTCCGGCTCCCCACGCCTCACCGGTCTGGCGCCGTGGTTTCCGTGGTTTCAGCGGCGGGCACGCCACAGCAGCAACCGCTTCTGGGAGGTACCGTGGTTTGGTTCTGGGCCTACCGGTATATCACAAAAATCATGGGATTTAGGGTAATTTATATATTGTATTGTATTATATATATTTATATGTATATATTGTTTGGGATAGAGAAATGGGCCAAAGTTGGGCTGGCCCCACAAAATTGGTAAAGTTGGGTCATTTTGAGCATGACATCACTAAAATTTGGGGGTCGGTTGATAGTTTTGATCCGCACAGAACCCATATAGATACCCATAGTAGCTCTGGATTCCTTGTCAGAACTTTCACTAGATTTGCAGGTACTGCGTGACTGGTTGGCAACATCGGTTGAATCAATCGAAATCTGCTACAACACAATGCCACTCTTTCTTTGATTTGGGCGTGCTTTCAGAAAGCGTGCCCTGAGCTTCTCCCAGAATAACAGAGAAACTGTATGAAATTGTGGGAATGCCAACCATCTCGGCTATTGCTTGCAGGACTAGTTGCGAACCACAGGCCCATTTCGAAGACTTGTAGGGCCAGGAGCTCCAGGGGCCTGGAACGACATGGGACATCACCACTATTGCTGCCCCTTCGAGAAGAGCAAGGTCTTTTGGATCCTTCTGGATCCGTATGGATCCGTCTGGATCCTTTGACCAATTTGAGCTTGAAATCGAATGAAACCAGCTTCAACAGGAACTTCAACATGCTTCAACTGTGTCACTGGGCAAATCTGGGCAGTGTCAGCCTGCACGCACGGCCAGAAGACATGGCAGTGAGCTGCAAAGGCTTCCTTCATGTCGTCTGTCCAGCGTCTCGCATCGAAATGTGCACCTCACAGAGCTTTGACCGAGAACTAAAGTGGCACGGGTACCCTACAAAATGAATCCACAATGGGCAATATATATAATAGTATATCGTATTATATCATTATGTATCTGTGTGTGATGGCCTATGGATGCCTATGCTTATGAATGGATGAATATGGATGATCATGACGTGACTTTAAATGAACATAAATGGGAAGCGATGGCAATAGATGACCATGGGTTGCACGATGGTTGCGGGTTCTGTGCTTGCAAACTTGCAACTGATGCTTACCCCTGCAGGTGCACGGCGGCAAGGCTGTTGCTCTGAGATACCGGCAATTCTTCCTTGGATTCGGAAAGAAGGCACTGCCAGTGACATGAAAATGCAAAACATTTCAAATGGAACAATGAAAACGACAGAATCCGAAGACTCAAGAAATTGATGGTGCCAAATGCAGCACGCAGCACTGCTGTCCAAGCTACATGTTGGCACCCAAATAGGTTCCATCCTGTTGCAAAAGATTGGGATCAGTGCATGGCACATCATGCGCATCATGGCAGGACCATCCCGGGCCTCGTGGCACATGACACCATCAAAGTTGAAGCCGTCCGGGCAGGTTGGATTGAAGTTGCGCTTGCATTCCCAGGCAGGTTTTTGGCCCTGAGAATTGCCGGCTTCAACAGGCATGGTATGGCATTGTGTTTGCTTGCGATTGTTTTCTATCTACCTAAAATCTTGTAGCCGACTAGTGTCATGCCGAGGTTCATGGGATGTGAGTTTGAACCATTGTGAATAATCTGAGCTCATCACCGGCGCATGTGAAGGATAGCGTGCTGGCAGCGGCTTTGGCTTCTCTGGCCCATATCGACTGTCTAAGGGCCATCCAACCTTATTTCCCCAAGCAGTTGTAGCTCCCATCAAATGGCCATGCTAAAACACGCTCAAAGAACGAGGCAGAAGTCCAAACAGTTGAGCCCAGCTTCCCCGCAGTTTGCTGCGAAGGTGGCCTTCATGCCCTTTGTGTAGTTCAAGAGGTTCACGGAGAAGGGGCAGGTTCCGCGGTAGAAGTAGGGCGCTGAGCAGGTTCCATCTTGCCTGGGCTCTGCCTAGTTCGGTGTCCTCTAATTGTTGCCAGAAATCTTGCCCTCGAAAACGGACTAAACAATCTAAACAAAACAATCCGTGTGAAAAACACACATGACATGCCTGCCGCTTGCCGCCTCAGCTCTCACCCAATGCCCCAAACCAACCAGCACATTCTGATCTTTTTGCCTCTCACTCATGCTCATGCGACATACCAGTTTCATTGAGGACAGGCCTCAACGGAGGCGCCGCAGTTGATCCGAGCTAGCATGTGCTCGGGTGAAACAGCAACTTCCAATTCTTTGCAGATCTGGTAATGGGTCAAAATGGGGGACAATGGCAGATCACATGAAGAAAATTGCCCGGACAGATGCATTTTCTATTTTCACCATCTACTTTGACTTTGACCCATTCCTGTCGGGAACCACTTGAAACTATGTATACAAGAGTTGACTCTTGCTGGCTAAACATCTGGCTCCGGAACTGCATGTCTCGAAGCCATGCGACTGGATAATTTGGTCCAGCCACTGTTGCTTCGGGCTGAAATCCAAAACACCTCCTATGGCATTACACCTCATCATTCCAAGCTCAGCCTGGCCATAGCAATCCGTGAGATTTGGCAATTGCAACTCCAACACCAGCATCCAGCAGGATATCTGAAATGCCTCACTATCAATACATATCAATACAGTCAATACATATCAATACATATCAATACATATCAATAATGCCAAGTTAGGATTAATAATCCCCGCGGTATTAATCAACCCCCTCTGCCCCAAAAAAAAATTGTAATTTAAAGAAAGGTGGTCCCCCAGGATTAATGAACCCCCCCGATTAAAAAACCACCAGTGCTGAAATCATTTTTTTATCCAACAATTTTTATTTCCAATTCTATTTGTTTCCAATTTGTTTTTACCTTTTTTTTAATCATCATTGTTATACTTAAGGTTTAAGTTGATCATTGAAAAATTCAAAAAATGACTATTCCCCAAATGATCGATTTCTAATTAAAATCTTTATAAAAATCATCAGTTTGGATAGCTCCCAAAGGGTACCCCCCATAAGCCCATGTCCCCCATTAATAATAACCATGGTTTGCCCCCGATTAATCAACCACCTTTCTGATCCATGAGATTTTAACAAATCCACTAGAATTCTATTAAGATCTAATTGACGTAAGCCATATCCAAATTTTTATGGTTCAGAGTTGCTTACTATTAAGGGGTGGTCAAGAAACTAGCCAGAAGGTACCTACCTACCTACCTACCTACCTACCGGGGGGGGGGTTGATTAATCCGATGTTGGCATTACATATCAATACATATCAATACATATCGATACATATCGATACATATCGATACTATCAGGGGGTTGCTTTTCATATCTTTTCATACTTATGTAGAATCCCGCTGCAATATTTCTGCAGATCCACAGGCATCCCGCAATCCCCTGTTCTTACCTTTGGCTAGTGAGGCTAGTGAGGCTAGTGGCTAGTGGGCAAAAAGCTTCCGCATCTCGATGTTCATGAGCAAACCTGGGGCCGGCACAGCTTGAGGACTTCCATCCACGAAGTCAGGAAAGAATAAGGAAAAGAAATGAAAAGAATAGGAATATGTCAGGAAAAGACCCTTATTCGTCTATCTTCTAGATCCTTTTGGGATCTGTGCTTGACATTGCTTGACATTGCTTCCTTTCAATTCAAATACCATATTCTCGATTCAAAAGCCATATTCATATTCTCCATAAATATATTATATATTCTGCATGTCCCACCATTCTCCTGAAACCCATGCACATTCAAACAAGTTCTCAGCAGAATCACACAGTGGGGTCTTGTTTTTGGCAACTCGGCAACATCTTGGGACCCAAATTTGGGCACCTGCGCTGCCACTGCAACTTGTTCCTCCGTTTTCTGTACTGCCAGTACCGCCATCCACTTCCTGAAATCCAGCAGGAATTACTTCCTGGGCTGCGCTGACAACGAGGTGCCCTATTTTGATAGTCATGTCCAAAAGGACATAAAAGGACCATAGCTTCCCCAACACGTCTTGGTTACGATCCGATGCCTATCGCACACGTTCCACACCATGCTACCCGGCAGTGCCAACTACCCTGGCCAAGGATCCCCTGCAAGGATAGTGTTGGCAGATTGCATGGGAGATATCAGTTTGACACCACGCAATGACGGCATATCCTCAGGCTCAGGGATCACGATGATTACGCGTGCTACTGAAAAGTGATGTTTTCGGCAATGGCCCTGCAAATTGGATCGACTTGATTTGACTTGTATCGAATTGTGCTCTGCACTCCGTCTTCTAGAGCTCTCACACACACAACAATGATCAACAATTCGGTGACAAGTATAACATCCCTGATTGATGGCTTGCAAGCGTGTGAACTGTTCAAAGTTGGCCAAAATATCCAAAATCAAAGATAAACCAAAATCTGTCCTTGCATGGACTGCCGCTGGCAAAGGCGTTGGCGTGGGATTGTGCCCAGTTGAAGAGCAACGACCTCCATGGCGTACAGTACCCTCCCCAAGGAAACCACCGCTTGGATAAGATTTAACACACACATGGAAGACATTGGAAGACAATGCACACAGCCCCAAAAATCATTGGATTCACTGGCCTATAGTTTGGCTTGATCCATTCAAGCAGTTTGGGCAGGGCATCCCTTGGACAGTTGTCCGTCTGTCCGAAGGTCAGAGTTAAAGACTCTATCTGAAAGTCATCAGACTCGATGTCTATGGTGAAGTTCACCTTCCTTGGTGACGAATTCAGGGGGCTGGACATGACTGGCTGGGTTGAAAATTCAACATCTCATCCTTGTACGGTAAGAGAATGCTAATGAAAAAATACATTGAAATACTGCATGAAAAGCTTGCACGAGTCAGGTAACCCCCAATGGTGGATTATCTCCAAGGGGCTGCAGCATGCGCAATCGTATCAGGTTTTGACATTTGGAGCTCGGGGTCCTCAAAGGAATGCTGGACACACTGGGGGCCCTCTCGTCAACTACATGATTTGACAAGTCAATTTCATCTGTACTGGGACAAGCTGGGACTCATTGATATGCTAAATTTACTTCTTTTCCCTGAGTCTCTGCTGGCATTCAACTGGCCTACAGGGAGCTGGAACTCATGTGCAAGAATCGAAAGGCCCTGTAACAGCTATAACGGCTGGAGTGATGGGAAAAACTATAACAAACCCTTGGTCACTTTAATTGCTGAAAGGTTGCAATTTCATGCAATTTCCATCAATATACTGTATTCAATTTCAACCAATTTCAATCGCTGCACCATGCTGCACCTGTCCTGGGGTCGCTGCTTGAAGCAGATTCACTGCGGCTTTTACTTCTGCTTCGTGCGCTCGGGAGGCTCCGCTCTGTCTTCACCCTGGGGACGACAGGAAAGAAGCAATGGATAGGGAACAACATCGCAGCTGAACTGAAAGCATCAAGTGTGTGTGTGTGAATCAAAAAAACACACAAATCAACTACACGAAATAACTACTGTAATCTTTTGCAGAACTTCCCCCCGAATTGCAGGAACCATAACAATTTTAGTTCTTCATTTCCTCTCCTTCTTTTCCACTTCTCTATGAATCCCATGCCCTATTGTTCAATTCCGAATCCCCAAAGTGATCATATCAAATCCCGAGGTTTCTGGGGCTGGTTTAGTTTTAGTGTAAAGACATGTAAAGACGTATCAATTGGACGGATTGCCTTTTTCATCCTTTTTCCATGCGTTTTCCATAGGGTGTTTTCCATTGCCATTGCAACTGGGAGACGGCGGAAGTCCATAGCCCAGGATGTGACGCATGTCCGTGGGCGGCATGTCGGTGGACGGGCCGCTCATGGCACTTTGCCTCGGCAATCGTTAGTTCTGGAGACTTGTGGAGACTTCAACGGCAGAAGGTTTGCCATGGTTTTCCTTTCCCAAGTTCTCCATTAATTTTGATCAATCTAGTCATGATCTTTAAGGCAGTCGCCACATGAAGATATTGTGGCGTAGGAACATGTTTTCCACCCTACAAATCGAACCAATCTCAAGCTGTCAGGGTCCCCAAATGTTTCGGCTGGAGTTTTTATGTACCCTGCGACTTGGTTACTCCTCAGATGCCAGAACTCTTTCGGAGTTCTCCTGGCGCGTTGCAGCCAACAATGGGTGATGTTTTTTTGTTTTTTTGGGGGTGATATTTTTTTGTTTTGCAGTCCAAACCAGTTTTCCTTGTTATTTGCTGCATTTTGGAACCAAAATCTCTCAATTTGCGGCATTTCCGAGCTAAAATAAATAGCAAATTTGCATGGTATTTGGAACATTTTAGTTTTCGCCAATTTTCCCATGGGCATGTCTGGATGGTTTTCATCGATTTCTTGATGGACTCTAATGACTTTTCCATGGTTTCAGAGATTCGTTCATGTTTTTTATCGTCCCCCCTTAACAGAATAACAACACGTACTGACATGCAATGGTGTAGGTTCAGTGTGGTACTTAAGGTGTATGCAATGCACAATATACACCTTCTGAACCTGTAGGATGCAACTTGAGGCACAAGCGTGTAGGGTCCAAATAGTTTCAATGGATGGTGTGATAGTGTTGGTGTAGGATTTATACAAAAAAAAGTGGTTTAGGGTTGATTTAGGGCTGGTTTGGGGTCCATTTAGGGTTAGTTTAAGGTCTATTTAGGGGTTGGTTTAAGATTTGTCTTGGTGTTGTTTATATAGGGCTTATATATGTAGAATTTGTTTCAAGTTGGTCAGGGTTGGATTGGGGATTATTTAAAGATACAATGTGTGCATACGAATTATTGTAAAATATTGTAAATATGTGTATGTATATAACAAAAAAAAATCTACATTACCAGTAGCACCGCGCAAGGCGGTGGCGGAATTTTCAAAGATAGAACACTATAGGAGAGGTGAGTTCTTGTGACGCATGGATGGCAGACGCAATCCACTGATGGGCCGAAAGCTGGTCGGAGTTGTGTTTTTTTGGGGGGTTGTTTGCAGTGGTTGCAGTGGTCACCCCACTCACAATTGCTGGATGTAGTATGGTGTCGCGCAATTGTAGTTGTAATTGTAGCGTAGCGGGCTGTAGTGTAGTGTAGTTGTAGCTGTAGCTGTAGTTGTAGTTGTAGTGTGGCGTAGTGTAATTAGCGTAGCGTAGCGAAATGTAGCGTAGTTGTAGTTGCAGATGTAGTGTAATGTAATTTGTGTAACCTAGTGTAACCTAGTGTAATTAGATGTCAGTAGCGTAGTGCAGTGCAATATGGCGTAGCACAGTTGCATCTGCATTTGTAGTCGTAGTAGTAGTTTATTGTGGTGGTAGTGGTAGTTGCAATTGCAGTTGTCTATCTATCTATCTGTCTATCTGCATGTTTGAAGACAAAACTACTCTGCGAGACCTGCTTAATGATCTTAATGTCTAAACTTGACAACATCGAAAACGCGGCAATTCTGCGATTTTTCCTCGGTGATATGTTTTTTTAACCTGACAACGTCAAAAACGAAGCAATTCTGCGAGACTTCCTCAATTTTCGAACTTGACAACATCAAAAACGAAGCAATTCTGCGAGACTTCCCTTCAAAAATGGAAAGCGGAGTGCAAAGCTGACAGCCTCGTACCAATACGTTTTGCGATGTTTCCATTCCATCTGTCTAAAGTACTGCGCCTGCCACGAAAAAGTGATGCCAGGTCAAACGAAGTGCTGCACCTGTCACGCAAAATCATCTCAGCAAACCTGAAGATCTGATGCTCCAAAATGCAGCCCCTCTCAGGAAATCAGCGCCCGAACCTCCTAACAGCTCTGATGAACATGTCTCTTGTACTGCGCCTTCCACGGAAAATGCATCTTTGCAGATCCTCTTCAAATGCCCCACGCCTGCCATCGTTTTTGGAGATTCTACAATGCCCTCACGTTTTGCTTAGTGTGACAAGGTGCAGAATCCCTTCCACCTGCCACACAAAACGATGGTGTTTTTGTAGCATTTTGACTTCGAAATGTGCTTCGCGCCACAACGGCGTGCACTTTTTCAACATCACAACTTCCAAAAATGGTCCGAACGTGTGGTGTTTTTTGCACATTTTGACTTTGACATGTGCTTTGTGCCACAACGGCTGCATTTTTTCAACATCAAAACTTCCAAAAGCGGTCCGAAGGAAGCCAAACCCAAAAGCCACAAACCAAAAGCCAAGTGGGCATGCAGATGGGAAATTTTAGCTCCAAAATGCAGCAAGTAGCAAGGAAAGCTGCCCCAGACTGAAATACAACAAAAAACTAAAAAGACAAATAAACAAATTCCATCTGCAAACAATTGCGGTGATGTGTGGATGGGGTACCCCATGTCTCCTTCTGTGCACACCTGGTAAGTATGTGGGTTTCTCTTGCACCAACCTCTGTGCCTGCTGCTGAAACCTCACCAAAAATGTAAACTTCAAGTGACGAACCATGACCAACCCATCATCCGAAACCTCCAAAAGATCCAACATCTTCCAAGGCCATGGCCCAGGATCGCCATGGATCGCCCAGCATGGCTCCTGGCTGATACCAATCAGATGTTCCACCTGCTCAGACATCAGGGAAGGCACCGTCACATGGAAGAGCTCGGCATTGAACGAAATACCGCTGGAATCCTTCATCTGCAAATGGATCGACCTGGAGCTGAGCTATTAAAATAACGGCCAGTTGGGAACGAGAACATATTGGGACTAACGTTTGGCGGATTGTGGTGGAGTTTTTGTATGTAGTTATTTCACACACACCCAACCCCCCAATCTGTGGAAGACTTACCAGCAGCTCACATGCCTTGGTGGCGTATCGGCTTTGGCCGATTCCTCAATGAAGGCCTTCAAGCGATTATGTTCTGGTGGGTCCACATCGCGAAGGAAGGGAACCTTAGGCTTTGCAGTGGCTACATCTGAAACTGGGAGTACCATGGGCCTGCTGCCATGCACCATGACAATGACAATGATATGTGTACTGTATGTATATACAATACAGTGATATTTGACAACATTGAGTCGGGTGTTTCTACAACACCTTAGCATTTGCAGCATGTCCAAAGTATACATGAAAGTAAATTCCATCACTTGCAAATGGTTCATGCGTCAGTTCCAGCAAAATCAATCGAAGATAGATCGAAACCAAGCGACTCCTTCAAGGTGGTTGCATCCCAGGTTGGATCCGAAGCCGCACATTAACAAATCCGACAAACTCGGGGAAGGCTGAGAAATCCTGCAAATTGCTGGGGCGGCGACGGAGCGTGCCCTTCATGTTATCAACCGCGATGGACTACACACACGGACGTCGCATACGGACGATTTGAACATGACATAGTCATATACACAATAATCACACTAAGAAACAAATATAAACAAAAAAAATGTAAACATTCTACGACCATCACACAATATCTCATATATCATCATATTAGGGCAAATCAGAATATTACACCCCAGAAACAGGGCTGTTATGGGATTGTTACCCTTCACAAACCCATCACCCTCATATTGAACCCCCAAAATGGTTCAAAATAATGATTGCTCCCAACATCCCAGCTACAACAGGGGTAAATTGGCCCAAGATAGGGGTAAAAATACCAATTGTTCCCCTGTGTGTGGCCATGATTTCCCATGGGTCGTCAATGCTGGCGAATTCCCCCATATGCCCCCCCAACTGCGAGGAAAAGTCACCCCAACTTCTTCGCCCATTGTAAACGCAGCACGAAAATGTAAATGTTCCAAAGAAACAAACTTACAAGACACTATGAGACCACAAGTCACCCCAATGGTTTCAAACTAGGGAAAATATTACCAAAACGGTATAATTGGATATTGTAAACGTATGATTCATGCATGTTTTGGTAAGATATCTATTTTGTGCCAAACGTTCAAAGCAACATAAACATCCAAAAAATGTGACTCTGCGAGTTGAAAACACAATGTGAACGCATGATTCACAAATGTTTTGGTAAGGTGTTTATTGTGAAAAAAGACGCCTAAGCCCAATGTTCAAACTAACAGAAGCATCCGCAAAAATGTTTTTTCTGAGCTCAAACCACGATGTGAACACGTGATTTATGTATGTTTTGGAGAGGTATCCCTTTTCTCTTTTGTTCTAAAACGCATCTAGTCCCAATGTTCAAAGTAACATAAACATCCACGATAATGTTCTTATGTCAATGTGAGTTCAGAACACATTGCGAAAGCATGATTTGTATGTTTTGGTGAGAAATGTCTTCTTGCAGCCTAATTAAAATCTACCAGCGATCTTACAGTTGCAGTAGCAAATGTTAATTGTTCTACATCCTATTACTAATAAGTTACATCATGTCAATATAATCCATTAATTATATCCCATTAGTAATTAATAGTCAAGTTACGTATATATATATATATCCATATGGCATCCATATGGCATATCTATCCCATGAATGGTTGGTTGCCACTGCCCATCGTCCTCAAGTCCCCTGTCAGCCGCGTGGACGCATCGCAGGTCACTGCCAGGAGCCGCTGCGCTGCGGCGCCGCTCCGTTCGGCTTCCTTCACTTCTTGCACCTCGGGGCGCCCATCTCCCGGATGGTTGGAAATGATGGATATATGATGGATATATGATATATATATATATATGCTATGTGTGATATTATATGTGTGTGATATATATATATATATATATATATTATATATATATATATATATTATATATATGTCGTATATGTAATGGATGTATGGCTTGAGAGATGTTTACTATTGGTTGCACGTATTTCAATTGTCGGTGTTCATTGGTTTTTATGGATATAGAAACATCGAAACAATGGTGGTTAAATGGTGGCTGAGATGTTGTTGGCTAATGTTGATGTCGAGGACAATGTTGAGATCCATGTTGAGATCCATGTTGATTCATGTTGGTGAATGGTTGCAAGCATGCTTTGGGCACGGGAGACCTGGATAGACCTGGAAAGACCTGGACTAGAAATGGAATTCATCCTGTCACAGCCAACACCCCCCCCCCAAAGGGGGCCCCTCTGGGGGCGGCCTTCTCTTCCAGCTCCAGGCTTGCAGCAGCTAACTGATATTCTTTCTCATGTAAGGTGGAAAGGATCAAGGCTGTGATTGATATGAAGAACACCTGGGATGGCAAGATCGATTGCAAAAAAAAACACACCCCGAAAAAGCCCCATCATCCTGCGAACAGGCTGTCGCATGCCACTGCAGCACAGCCATCAAACTACTCCACCCAGTGGATCCAATTGGATGATATTGGATGCATTCAACTCCATTACCAAATTGGATCCTTGCGTAAATTAGATTCCCAAATTGCCAATCAATATATCAATCGGTTCAATCGGTTCAAACGGATGTTTTTGGTAACTGATGGTAACTGACTACGGACCTGCCTCAGCGATGATCATGAACATGAACTCGAGGGCTTCTGCCTTGGGCTCCTGCCGACAAAATCCAGCAGTTGCTCCCTATGATTCATTATGAAAGCCTGAAAATCATGGGATAAACTGAATAAACATGGATAAACCATGAAGTAATGCAGAATGTTGATGGATTTACTGTACACCCACAGTAACATGAAATATATAGAAATCAACAGGGTCCTGAGTTATGCCACCCTATGAGCACCTCTCTCTAGTTTTTTGCAGCTGACCAGTACCCGTCCTTTTGCATCCAGTTGGAGAGCACGTGAAGTGGAGCAAGCAGCAAGTTCCTTGATGGCATCGCATCGCGCGACTTTTGATACGTTTGATTCCTTGTGGAAAAGAAGAACTGAGCATCCCAAGCGCTGGACTGCAGCCGTGTAATATGCAGTTTCATTGATCTGGTTGATTGATGGGAAAAAGACACACATATAGCGAAATATATGCAGTAAATATAAGTAAATTGCATATTCATGTGCAAACGTGCCAAAGAACTGCTGCCTCTGAACTCCTGAACTCTTGGCACGCAAACACCTGCTGCCCATGCTGCAGCTTGCCCCCACTGTGCCGAGATGTTTTGCATCCAATCATAATTAGCAACCAACCGTGACCAACCCTTGAACCATACCAAAGCCAAGAGTCATGTTGTTGACGTGCCACACATCTGTCGAGAAGGTGCCCACCATGATACGAGCCACATGAAGAATTGGCATCAAATCCTGATGGGATCTGGTGGGATGTGCAACCTCAATCAACCTTATGTAGAGGGGTGATCCTAAGAGCACATTCTGCATGGCACACCGCTAGCTCCCATTTCCCAACGATCTGGTGGTCACAGGGCCTCGCCCCTTGCTGGGCACTAGAGGAAGACCACCCACTGCCCCTGCACGTGCGACTACTAGCTATATAGTTGCAAGAAAACATCCATCACCATTATACACCAAGAAAACGTTCATCATCACGATAAGCATCACCATCACCACCACCATCAGCATCATCGTCATCATCGTCGTCATCATGAGCTTCTTCATCTTCTTCATCCTTGCCAAAGGCAGCAGCCTTCCTACCATGTTCACCCCTCCCTGGCGCTGGCCCAGTCCCGCGGAAAGCCAACAGAGCTGATTAGGATTGCGATGCACAGGTGGAAGGTACATTGATGCATAATCAGGGGAGTCCTCAGTGCCCCCGGGCCGGACGCCCAACGAGGCTGGCAACAGTCAACTTGTCCAGGACAACTCTGCCAAGCTTCAGTTTAACATCTCGCCTTGCAACTCGTTGCAACGCGGGAACTGCAATTGCGCCGCTGAGAAAGCAAGGAACTTGAAGAAGGGAACCGAAGGCGTAGTAATTGACCTCAGTTGCATCAGTTTCAAGACACCTTTCCAAGAGAATCTTGAACCGTTATGTTTCCTTTAGACTCACATGCATGTCATATCATGTCATCATGTCCATGTAGAGAAAAGCCTCGCAAAACAGCGTGAAACACCTGACTCGTGTGCAGTTGGTCATGCAGTATCAAGTTCTTTGTCTACAAATGCCAACGATCCTAACAACTGTGTTCAAGTTCAAAGCTCAGCAAGACGACACAATGTCAAAGTGCACCCCAAGTTGGTCCAAGTAGCCAAAACGTAGTAAGGCAACCAAAATGATTCGATTAACGGGCACCAAATCCCGGCAATCTCCTGGGATGTTGCAGTGCGTTAAAACGCGTTTAGCGTTTTCAACCCAAAGATCGAGTCTGTGCTATAGCGAAGTTTCAATACATTTATATAATATCATTTAATACCATAGCCATCCATAGCCATCCATAGCCATCCATAGCCATCCATAGCCATCCATAGCCATCCATAGCCAGCCATAGCCATCCATAGCCATCCATAGCCAGCCATCCATAGCCATAGCATGCCATAGCTGTGTGTTGATTTGGGGTCAATGAGTTCAACCTTGGCCAGTCCTTGAGTACTCGCTCACGCCTTTCGAACATGCCTAGGCAAGACATCGGCCAATGTCAAGTGTTGGCGGGGCACAGCAACTAAACGTTTGATGCGACATGATCAGATATGGTTTGTTGGTGTGTCTCTATATATATATACATATATATATACATATGTATATATATATATGTGTGTGTATGGATCAATGATCACATCTGATATGCAAACCCACAAGTTCATTAAACAATGAATAATGCACAAATGATCACAAACGGATATTACTCACACACAAATACATATGTTGTATATTGTCTTGTTGTATACTATTGTATACTGAATACGCAACCACTCGTGGTTAACCTCCCCTAACCTTTGGATCCTAACCAAGTCATACCAAGTCGCAGGCAAGAACCTCAGGCCGTTCAACGGGTCTTGATGAGATCCTCCAGCTTCGCAAGGTTCGCTCAAAAATGGGCACCCAATCCCTCCACGTCAACACCCTGGGAGCGCACGGGGAAGATCCGGGAAGTGGGGGAAACCACTCAGATGTCACAGCACCCGGCGGATAAAAACGACCAAAGCACACCAAATCACCAAAGCCAGAATGACTTTTTTTGTCAGGGCTTCGCGAAGGATTTGCCCTACCAATTGGCTTGCATCCTTGTGCAGCAATAATAGAATGGATGGCAGGTGAATTCCAAACAAGATAAACAAAATTAAACAAGTAGCAGCTAGTAGGAGGCTAGTAGCAGGTAGAATTGATTCCATCGTGACAGTTTCGATTTGAATCAGCTACCGGAACCGAAAGATCCGAAAGCTGCCCACCTCATCGTGTAGAAATGAAGGATCATCAGCCCAATGCTGCCGGCAACAACTTGCTCCATGGCAAGTTTGTGGATAGAGCACGGCGCGAAGCGATTAATCCCTTCCCTTCTCCCGCTCGAGCCTACCGCCAATCAATGACGATGTTGACATCGTCTTCATCGCGATTCCATTCATATTTTGTTTTGGTGAGATTGGTTGACACTAATGTGAGTGCATCCTTTCAACTTTTGAACTTGAACAATCTTGAACACGTAGTTTTCTGCGTGCCGATGTGCGCCTGTATAATCACTTTCAGGGATCTTTCCGGTGAATGCCAAGAAACTACATCTGGCTGAACCATCGAATTATGTGGGGGCCTTGTCTACCCAAGTCATATCAAGTCCAATCGGCAGCGTTCCAAGCTGCTCCCAGGTCCAGCCCTGTGGACATGGTCGTCTGTAGTCGTGTTTCAAATCGCGGCAGGGCCAGAGCAACCAGCCTCCAGCATTCATCCAGCATCATCCAGCTGTCAAGGATGGAACACTTTTGAAATTTTCATAGTTGCTCAACCAGCTACATCTACAGCAAACGTGTCGATGAGGGAAATTTTGCAGAGCAATTGTACAGAATCCGAATGAAAGTAACGCCTGAATAAAATGTTGCAAACGCAGAAAGAGAGTGAGCGAGAGAGAACACCTGGCACATAATTGTGTAGGATCATGCAAGTTCACATGGGTTTATGCCAGAGTTGCTGGCCCCTATACTCTAACCTTAAAGTATTTTCAAAGGGTGCATCCAAGCCACATGCGTCATAGAGATCCTTCTTTGTCCGCTCCTCTTCAGCCAAGAATTGTCAGAGGACACACTTGGGCAGCAAGGGTTCTCTCTCTCTCTCTCTCTCCATCGCCATCTCCACGAGTTCGGCAAGGTTCCACTGTAGCAATTTATAGCATGATATGATGAATGATATATATATAATAATAATAATAATATTGAACAATATGATTTGATCAAAATGTCATGCAACCTCTGGCAGTAATACATCCTTTCAATGCCGTGATGCGTTCAGAAATCCGTTCCATCCCTCCGCAGTCACTGGCAGATGCAGGAACTACTTGGCGCGGAGTCAGCTGCTGCCGGCACCAGTTTGTCTCCTTGGCTCAGCGCTTGCGACAAAAAAGTTCCTGGGTCAGAAATCTATCCAGACTTCTAGCCTCTGGGAAACTGTTTGTTTAACTGGGAAATCGATAAACATATATATATATATAATACATACATCTTTGAAACAAAATGTTGCACACACATTTTTAGACCAATGATTTCAGTGAAAAGTGGCAGCTCCCATTTAGAGGACCATCTCCCGTCAACAAATCTTGGCAAGGCTCCGTATAAAATTCCGGCGGGGCCTGGCACTCTGGTCCGCTTGGCCCTTTGGGCACCTGCCAATCGTCATCGCGGTTTCAAGAAACTACATATGGAATTAGTATGAATTAGTATGAATTAGTATGAATTATATATAGTACCTTACCAAATCAACATAAATCAACCTATGGTTATCATTAGCTATCATTGCATGTATAATCATCAATCAAACCCTCTTAATAACATATATCCAATGATATATCATCTGGAAATTCTCAACATGTCTCAAGCCATAGGAAAACTATGGAAAACTTCAGAAACACTCAACCACATCATGGATATTCAATGATATTTGCACAACAATAGCACAACGATAGCAGAGTCGCGGCAGTTCAGCTGAGCAACGTAGCTCCAGCCGATGGGACAGGTCTGGGCGAAGTCGATTCCGTCGTCGCACTTCATCTTTTGACCTTGGGGAGGATAGATGAAATACCATGAAATACCATGAAATACCGTGAAATACCGTGAAATACCGTGAAATACCATGAAATACCATGAAAATCCATGAAATGGATGAACATTGGAGGATGAATGATGAATGGGATGATTCTCTCCACTATAATTCAATATTAGTATTAGCACAATCCTCCTAGCACTGCTGGAAGATGGCGGAGCCCATACGCAACTTCTCTGCTCTTGGACCCAAGCCATGTGACCTCGGTGAACACGGCAGGATGAAGATAGTTGCAAGACTTTCCCTTAACACCCCCAGTTTCGCCATGTGACGGTCCGGACATGTTATAATTATCATAATATATATATAGCTTGATTGTCAACATGTGAGATGAAGATAAAACCTTAATGAACCTTTGTGCTTTTACCTGCTTTTCATGTGGCATGCCTCCCAAAGCCATCTGCTGAGATACTTCAGTCGGCCATCTGCATAATGATTCTCTTGAAAGCTATCGGGCGGTACGTAATCCTAGGCAGGATGACCCTCTCAAACAGCCGCTGCATGGTAAAAACAAGCTGGTGGCATTGGGCGGCAGCTGGTCTCTCAAAAATCAAGTGCTGCAGGTGTCTGCATATGCTGGGCACCTTCCATGTAAAACAGCTCAAAGGAATCACTTGGGAACAGGGTTGGTCAATGTTGTGCACAAGCACAAGGCTCCTCTGGACGTACTTCGAACTTGCTTCGCGGCTCTGGCTTTTGTTCGATCTTTGGCGGTGTGTAGGACTTGGTCAAGGATGCACTGTAAACTGCCACTCCACTGCTGCAAGGTGAAATGGTCATGCAGTCAAATCCAAGCTTGGAACACCACTTTCAGCAAGCGGGATACTATACATGTCATATGAATTTGATATCATGTCCCCAATGATCGGGTCATGTTCAGGACATATCATCTCTGTTCAAACACTAGTGGATAGCGGTTCAGAATCAACGATTGACTGATTTAAGGGATAATCTACAGCAAAGCAGTGCTTTGGCACAGTAAGTAAGAGATAGTAAGATATGTTGACCCCGGATGAATGAACTCTGTAAATAATTAAGGGGTTACCTCCACAGCAGTAGTAGTAGTAGTAGTATATAGTAGTAGTATATAGTAGTAGTATATAGTAGTAGTATATAGTAGTAGTATATAGTAGTAGTATATAGTAGTAGTATACAGTAGTAGTATATAGTAGTAGTATATAGTAGTAGTATATAGTAGTAGTATATAGTAGTAGTATATAGTATATAGTATATAGTATATAGTATATAGTATATAGTAGTAGTATATAGTAGCAGTAGTAGTAGTAGTAGTACTAGTACTAGTAGTAGTAGTAGTAGTAGTAGGAGCAGCAGCAGCAGCAGTAGTAATAGTAAATCACTATTAGAATTGGTGCCCCTACGAGTAAAGTGGTGGTGCATTTATCATGGGTGATCATTACAGACCTATCTTCCTGTGGCGACCTATAATGTTCTGTAAAACGTTTCCCTTCATCCAAGTCTGGCAGAGAATCATTGCCATTCATTACCTGGAAGCTGCTGGGATTATAGTATAATCACATGTTCTCTACGGATTCTATACATTATAATGGTACCCCCCCGGGATTTGGGGGATGTTATATAGTGTATATACATATATATATATATATATACATAGAGGATTCAAGCCTTGAATCCAACCCTTGTGGGAATCTTGGATCTTGGATCTTGAATCTTGCAAAGAATGCATTCAGAATGCATTCTTTCGGCAGGATTCAAGATTCAAGATTCAAGATTTCTGAGGACTCTTTGGAGCAAATCTTGAATCCACCCCCTGGATTCAAGATTCAAGATTTCTGGGGACTCTTTGGGGCAAGTCTTGAATCCGGATTCAAGATTCAAGATTCAAGATTTCTGGGGACTCTTTGGGGCAAATCTTGAATCCGGATTCAAGATTCAAGATTCAAGATTTCTGGGGACTCTTTGGGGCAAATCTTGAATCCGGATTCAAGATTCAAGATTCAAGATTTCTGGGGACTCTTTGGGGCAAATCTTGAATCCAGGATTCAAGATTCAAGATTCAAGATTTCTGGGGACTCTTTGGGGCAAATCTTGAATCCGGATTCAAGATTCAAGATTCAAGATTCCTGAGGACTCTTTCCAGCAAATCTTGAATCCAGGGATTCAAGATTCAAGATTTCTGGGGACTCTTTGGGGCAAATCTTGAATCCGGGATTCAAGATTCAAGATTTCTGATTTCTTGGGGAATCTTGAATCCTGGATTCAAGATTTGCCCCAAAGAGTCCCCAGAAAATCTTGAATCTTGAATCCTGGATTCAAGATTTGCTGGAAAGAGTCCTCAGGAATCTTGAATCTTGAATCCTGGATTCAAGATTTGCCCCAAAGAGTCCCCAGAAATCTTGAATCTTGAATCTTGAATCCAGGGGGTGGATTCAAGATTTGCTCCAAAGAGTCCCTAGAAATCTTGAATCTTGAATCTTGAATCCTGCCGAAAGAATGCATTCTGAATGCATTCTTTGCAAGATTCAAAATCCAAGATCCAAGTTTCCCACAAGACTTTTGATCAAAATCTTGGATTTCTAAAGAAGTTTCATAGGGACTAGTAAGAGTATTCTGGCAAATTCCAAACCCAAGATTTGCACAAGACTTCTCCGCAATTCTTAGATCTTGGATCTTAGATCTTGGGAAGAATGCATGATCAAAATCTTGGATTCCTAAAGAATTTTCATAGGGATTGGTAAGAGTATTCTGGCAAATTCCAAACCCAAGATTTGCACAAGACTTCTCCGCAATTCTTAGATCTTGGATCTTAGATATTGGGAAGAATGCATTCTGGATGCATTCCTTTAGGCTGGAAAAGACATAAATACAATTCCTGCCATCCATTGTCACTGCTCCATTCTTGCAATCCATTGTCACTGCCCCAGTGCCATTCTTGTTCTCAGCTTTCATCGCTTCCCCTCTTATTTGCCATGGCGTTCTTCAACGTGACCGGCACGGTGAATATGTCGCAAGGCAAGGCCATCATGACATTGACACCAGAGCCTGACATCAAAGTGACCATGACTCGACCGTCAACATCTCAGCTCCTGGAAAAAATCGGAGCAGGAACAGTCAAGGTTCATGACAGCCGCCATCCAGTTGCAAAGAGAGACCTGACGACTATGATGGGCACGATTCAAAGGCAACTGCGCCTGCGTCCGGGAGGTGATGGTGAATGGAGTGCAGATGCCCAGCAGCGCTTAGAAAACTTACTGGCCAATCCGAAAAGGAGCACTGCAACTGTGCAATTGGCCTTGGAAGATGTGAAGC